AGAGCACAGCGCCTGGGTGCTCTGCCTTCATTCTGGGCGTGTTTGCATGTCTGATACAGGAAACTGCAAGGGGAGAGGGAGTTTTCATTTCCCGACAGAAATTATGGCTTTAAAAACCTTTCACACGCCTTCTAATCTGGAGTCTCGCTGCAGCGACGTGAACCTGGTTTCCCCGCGCTCAGTTCTTGTGACTGTTCATCCACTTACAGCTAATGTTACTGTGCTATGAATTTCTTCTTTGCAGGGGTTTTTACCATTAGACTTTGAAATACAGAAGTTTGAGTCCATACTGATACCAGCTCAATGCTGACAACCTGTGCTTTCCTATAAAATCTACAGCACTGAACAGCCTTCCTATAAACTCCATCTCAAATGTAAAATGTATCATAAAACAGCATGATACATAATATTAAATAGTACACAACAACAAGAGGAAATTTTATTGGGAATGCAGTTAAAATGCAGTTTAAAATATTTATCTGCATACATTTTGTTTACACAAAACAAGACTGGCACAAAAATGAGGAAAATCTTGGTGAATGAACAGAACAAAGATTTAGCCACATGAATTACACTTTTCTGCAGAGAATCTTATGACTTAACGCACAGTTAGCATGTCTAATTGCCCCCTCTTCCCTCTTTAAAGACAACTGAACAGAAATCTAGCAAAGGCTATGTGACTTAAGCAGTCACATGAATGAGTGGGAGAATGTGATTCACCAACAGTAAAGGGGCTTTGAAAAACTGACCAACGTTGATATACATATTTTAAATATAATGTAAATGAAAAGAAGTGGTTTACTTGCTTAAATTAAAAAAGGATTCTTCTTAAAAGACAGATTTTTTAAAACAGTGTACTTCTCTGATCCATCAAGTTTTTTCTACAGTTACACCTCTGCTGTGAAACAACGTACCCCTGGAGGACAGGGGTGAGGCCCCCCACACACTCTCAACATGGAGACACAAACGGCTCCAGCATGCTAGGGACAGACGGAATCAACCGACTTCCTAGTCTTGGGATTGTTCCTGAGGATTAAATGAAGCAAGCAACAGAGTCTGCTTTCTACCCGCAGGGCGTACAATACAGGACAGCAGCAGGAATTACCGTCTGAGGGACTAACGAGTAATTTCACTTAACAATAACAAAACCAGGATGACCAAAAACTACCTAGACAAAAACAAACTAAAGCACACCACCACTGATACAATTTCTTCTTTTCCCATAAAATAATTCACACAAGCTAAACTTTCCACTCCGCCCTAGCCAGCCGGGGGGTGGGGGGGATTTGGGCTGCGGTGGGTCACTGGCAGCAGGGCACAAGCTGTCTCTTCTTTCACACAGCCTGATGCACTAAATGGATTGCTCAGACGGCCCCTCCAGCTACACTTACGTGCACGGATATCAAATTGCTTACGAGACGCAAGAGTATGTACTTACTTCCAAGGATATCAAATGGCCTTTGAGATACAGTAACAGCAGGCCCATCCAAATCTCCCCTATCATTTGGAGAACAACCTCATTCCTTGTGTAAGAACAAAATCATCACATTATGAAAAGAGATCAGAATGAAAATGAATTTGCTTTCTAAACAAATAAATGATGAACTATAAGACTCTGTACTCTGTAAAGTAGGTAGGTCTAGTAAATGCAATGACCACTTTATAGAACAACTGTAACACTTGGAAACAGATTGCAGGTTTCATATTTTAATAAACTGTCAGTAGAGCATATAAGAAATGTAATATAATTAAAGTACTTTTGGTCTCCCAAATCAAGAACACTATCAGCAGCTGAGCTCAAATGTCCTGATACTAAGATCGTACCCTAATTTTATACACACAAACACAGAAACACAAAGTTGTCCAAAGCATCACTGATACTCAGATAATCAATCGACTTGTATTAGAGTTTATTACTTTGAAAATTCCAACTGATATATACTAACTCACAAGTATAGAAGATTGACTTTTAAAATGCATATTTTGAGATCTTCAGAAAAGTTACCAAATTAGCAGAGTTTTTATTATTAGTGTGAATTTAGCACTCTTGAGAATACGTTAAAGGTTAAATCAGCTAACATTCACGTGAACTAATATGTATGAAAATCTATAATTTTAAGAAGCTGCATACATTGAAGAGGAAAAGGAAATCCATTTGGACCCTCTAAGACTTTATTCCTAAAACCTCAGTATTGACAGAAAATTTATATGGCATAAAATCTGTAATTAAATGATACAGAATATTCTTGTATCAGGATGTCCACATATTTTATGGCTTGCCTTCAAGACTCACTATTACATGAATTTTTATGTGTAAACTTAAAGAATGGACAGAGCACTCAAAGACCTCATTTATACCCCCATAAAACTTCTTGTATTTACTAGAAGTTCTTGGCCAAAATATTTCTAATAGTTAGAAATGCTTTCAAAACTGCCTTCTTTCAACCAGAAGAAAACCATCCAAGTTCCGAAAAAACAGACATAATGCATTAAGTATTTCAGCTTAACCAACATTTCTAGACTGTTTCCTATGTGTGCACACTGCAATAAGTCATTAATATGAAGATGATTTAAAACACATTTATCTCAAGAAGAATCTGGTACAGTCGTGAATAAAAAGTTCAAAGAAATAAGTAAATAGCTACCATGGAGTATGAGAAGCAAGACTGAAGGACGTGCAAGATACAGAGAAAGTGAAGGGCACAGACTCTGGGGAGGAGGGGGGCCGATGAGAACTTGACAGAGGAGGCAGCTTGTGAGCAGGGCAGGGTGAGTAAACAGGAGCTCACCCAGCAGAAAGGGGAGGGGAAGGGCCAGGCAGAAAGAGCAGGATGTGCTGGGTCACAGACAGACAAGCACCAGACACTCAGAAACTGCAAGTAGTTCTGATTGGATAGTGCACAACGCAAAGAAGACAGAGCTGACAAGGAGAATAAAAACACGCAGGTGAAATGCCACGAAGGCCTCGTGTGCAAAACAATGGACTTTAACTTCACTCTATGGGCAAGCCTCCTGTGTTGAGCTGCCAGGTGTCCAGCGGTCAGGAAGCACAAGGCAAAGTGAAAGCAATGGTCACGTCTTCTTGCCTCACTGCGACAGCGCCAACAAGAGGCCACCAAGCATGTGCTGCCCCCGTTTTGCTCACCCTCAGAATGACACTGCACGACAGTGTGGGGGGAAATCTTGTCACTGCGGAAGAGTGCTGGCCAACCGTCCCCCGACACACGTCACGGGCCTGGGAGTGGGCGGGGCAAGCAGGATAGCAGGTGCCCCCACCGAGGTCCTGCAAGCGGAGGCGCCTGTGCAAGGGCCGCAGGCGTGCGTGTGCACATGGCCTGCTGGTGGAGCGCTCCAAGTCCACATGGTCCCCTCCAGAAAAGCAGAGTGCGGCATGTCAGTCCCGGGTGGGGAAGGCAGCTGGCCCTCGTGAGGCCTGCCAGGGAAAGCCAGCCTCCGGCCAGGCCTGGAAGATGACATAGCGGTCTGGCCCTGGAGCCGGACCCCTCAAGGTAGATCTGTTGTCTGCAAAAACCTCTCGTTGACAAAGTAGAAGATGAATCGGACAGAGAATTTACAGTCAGGAGACCAGCAGGCGGCTGGGGTAATAATCTAGGTTGGACATGTGGGCCTGAACTCCTGGCAAAGTGACTAAACCTCACCCCTGTAGGACAAGGAGTGAATCCCAGAAGGGCTGACAAACTGGCAGACGGGGGGGGGGGCAGTTCAGGTGGCAGAGGGGGGAGGCACTCAAAGCGCAGGGGGACAGGAGATGAGGGACGAGAGCCCATGACTTCCAGGGCGGAAGGATGGCGGGTCATCAGGACGAAGCTGTGCTCAGAAGCAGAGTGCAGAAGGAGAGGAGAGTCAAGGACACACGCTACAGTCTCTTTCTACTGAACACGTCGGTCAGGATGATGGCAGTGACAGCAGCTTCTGGAATCACAGACGCGGGGGGCAGGGGCTTTGGAACAGGTATGAAGAGCCACTGTTCAGAAGCATCAGAGACAGAACATCACCAGCCCACCCAGTCCAGAGACAGGAGGCTGAGCAGGACAGAGCCGCCGCCCCCAAGGGGGAAGCAGGACAAAGTGCTGCCCCCTGGGGAGAAGGCGTCCCAAGAAGAGCCCAGGGGTGCTGAGTCCTTCTTAAAAGCGGAGCAGAGCTTCCAGGCAGAAGAATGGAAAAGGCTGAGAAGAGATCAGCAAAGTAAGGAACTAGAGCAGGGAAACAGGACAGAACCAGAACCTATGAAGACCTAGATGTGGCTGGTGCCAGAGGTGACAGGGTGACACATGGCTGGAACCCTGACCTTCAGGTCCCCACCTTGGCCGAGGCCTGGCCGGTCTCTGTGGGCATCACCAGAGCTACCAATGGTTTCAAACACTTGTGTTCTTTTACTCCACTTGTGAGGCTACTATTTAAAAACACTTTTATTTAAATAAATAATCTCTTCCTGAGAATGTGTTTGGCAAAGCAAAGTTTCCACTGAGTGCAAAAACAAAATTTTAAGCTCACTAAAATAGATAAAATATTTACTAATAGTTTTCTTTAAGTTCAGAAGTGGAAGCACTTTAAGAGCTCACTTAGCTTACTCTAACCCCAGAAGACCATACTTACACCCTAAAAATACCACTAGCCTCTCTGAAGGAGGCAATCTCAGTTCCAACGAGATGGGGAAGATAATTATAACCCTTAAAAGCATTCTTTTCTGATATTTACCAAACTTCTTTTTTTCAACAGAGGTGCTCGGGATTGAGCTCATGTATGCTAAGCCCACGCTCTGCCATGGAGTGACACCCTCCCCACAAAAAATCTTTGTTTTATAAGATGGATTCACACAGTAATAAAGGATAGACACACTTCTGCGTAAGTTGCTTCTCTCCCGAATGACTTTCAGCACAGAAGGACGGAAATAAATACTTCACAAAATACAATGGGCAACGTTGAAAATTCAGGTTTCTCCTTCACAGGCCAATACACAGGAAAGCAGTAGCACTCACCTCTTTTGCACTCTTAATTTTAGTCAGAAACGTATGCAGCTCCATTGTCTCTGCAAACAGTGCGCGACATACCGCCTGGTAATGACTGGGTGCCTCTGACTCAGCTGGCAGGTGAGCAGCACATAACTACGGGAGAGAAAAATAATGGTGCCTGCTTATTACTTGTGCGGCTTTTGTACCTGGAAAACAGACACATCCAGTATATTTGTATTTTCATATCAGACAGGAAGGCAAATCCACCACTCCCATCACCCAAGGCTTAATGCACCACAAGACCAGCAGCAAAGCTCACACAACTATATGGAAAAAGTGGTCCACTAGCTAACAAACGCCCAATAGCCCAGGCAAGCTTCCTAGAACTGGTTAGCTTCTATTTGAAAATGACAGGACACATGGAAAGTTTGGGTTGGGAGTAGAAAGGGAACTACCAATTACTGAGTGCTGATCATAACACAGGTATCTTAATAGCTTCCATTTATGGAGTAAGTACCCTGCCAAGCACTGCATTTGACGTGTTGTATGCACAGCATAACTATCATTCACTCTTCAGTGTAACCCTACATTGGCCCCATTTCATAGCAAAGAAGACTGAGGAGGAGTCAAAGGACTGGTCCAGTCATAAAGCTGACACGAGGGAGGAGGAGAACTCAGCACAGTCCTCTTGGGTTCTAAAGCCTAGCCTCATTCTCATACACGTTCAATTGTATAATCTAGGAAAAAGGCTGTCAGGAAGACACACGGACCGCTGGGAAGATACCTCAGCAGCAGACGGAGAGCGGGGGAAAGAGAGCAGCGGGCAACTGGTGACACCTCCAGTCCTAATGCCCTTCACTATGCACAGCCCACAGTCCCCACAGAACTACTTGTGGGTACAAGATGCAATTTAACATCGTGCACAGTAATTCAGAAAAATCAAACACAATTTACTAGGATGGAAACACATCCTATCAGGAGCCTAGGGCATGGGAGTAATTTTATCGTTTTATAAAATTATGATTTTGGATCCCTGTAGAATGGTTATGTTTTGAGGTACTTCCTTTGCAGGTCAGAAAGCAGCAGCGTAATATATTTAACATAATGAAAGGCAGAAGCCTACAACCAAGAATACTCTGCCCAGCAAGGCTACCATTCAGGTTTAATGGAGAAATCAAAAGCTTCAGAGGCAAGAAAAAGCTAAAAGAGTGCTGCACCACCAAACCACCCGCACAACAAACACTAAAGGAACTTCTCTAGTGGAAAAGAAGAGGCCACAACTAGAAGCAAGAAAATCACAAGGACCTGTACTCCGAAAACTGCAAGACACTGATGAAGAAACTGAAGATGACACAAACAGGTGGAAAGGTATACCATGTTCTTGGACTGGAAGAACCAGTATTACTAAAATGGCCATACTACCCAAGGCAATTTCCAGATTTACTGCAACCACTATCAAAATGTCAATGACATTTTTCACAGAACTAGAATGAAAAATTTTAAACCTGCATAGAAACACAAAAGACCCTGAATAGCCAAAACAATTTTAAGAAAGGAGAACGGTTCTGGGGGAAATCACGCTCCCTGACTTCAGACTATATTACAAAGCTACTGTAATCAAAACAGCCTGGAACTGGCACAAAACAGACACATAAATCAATGGAACAGGATAGAAAGTCCAGAAATTTAAACCCACAGTCTATGGTCAACTAACCTATGACAAAGGAGGCAGGAATATACAATGGAGAAAAGACCGTCTCTACAGTAAGTGGTACTGAGAAAACTGGACAGCTACCTGTAAAAGACTGAAACTAGAACACTCTCTAACACCATATACAAAAGTAAACTCAAAATTGATTAAAGACCTAAGTGTAAGATCAGATACTATAAACCTCCCAGAGGAAAATACAGGCAGAACACCCTTTGACATAAATTGCAGTATTTTTGTGGCTCTGTCTCCAAAAGCAAAGGAAACAAAGGCAAAAATAAACAAATGGGATCTAATCAAACTCAAATCTCTTGCATAGCAAAGGAAACACTCAACAAAACAAAATAACAACCTACAGAATGGGACAAAATATTTGCAAATGACACAACCGACTTAATTTCCAAAATATACAAACAGCTCATACAGCTTAATATCAAAACAAACAACCCAATCAAAAACTGGGTAGAAGACCTAAATAGAGATTTCTCAAAAGAAGGTATCCAGATGGCCAATAGGCACATGAAAAGATGCTCAGTATCACTAATTATCAGAGAAATGCAAATCAAAACTACAATGATGTCCTCTTACACCAGTCAGAATGGCCATCATTAAAAAGTCTACAAACGATAAATGCTAGAGAGTGTGTGGAGAAAAAGGAACCTTCCTACACTGCTGGTGGGAATGCAGTTTGGTGCAGCCACTATAGAGGACAGTATGGAGGATCCTTAAAAAACTAAAAATAGAGTTGATGTATGATCCAGCAATCCTACTCCTGGACACATAAACTATAATTCGAAAAGATACATATACTCCAGTGTTCACAGCAGCACAATGTACAATAGCCAAGACATGGTAGCAACCTAAATGTCCATCAACAGATGAATGGATAAACAAGATGTGGTGTGTGTGTGTGTGTGTGTGTGTGTGTGTGTGTGTGTGTATGCAATGGAGTATTACTCAGTCATAAAAAAAGAAATAATGCCATTTGCAGCAACATGGATGGACCTAGAGATTATCATATTGAGTGAAGTAAGTCAGCCAGACAGAGAAAGACAAGTATCATCATAATACCATTTACATGGAATCTAAAAAAAAAGATACACATTCCATTTACAAACCAAAAACAGACTAACAGACACAGAAAACAAACTGTGGTTACCAAAGAGGAAAGGGTGGGGGAGGGATAATATTAGACATGGGAGGTTAACAGACACAAATTACTACATATAAAGTAGATGAACAACAAGGACCTATTGTATAGCACAGGGCACTATATTCAATTTCTTGTAATAACATACAATGGAAAAGAATCTGAAAAGAAAAAATACATATGTATGTATATGTATAATTGAATCACTCTGCCCTACACCTGAAACTAACATTGTAAATCAACTGCACTTCAGTAAAAAAATTTTTAATCATATCTTCTGATATATTTAGGTTTTATCATATTACAGTCCCTTGTTGATAATATTAGACTTCAAATTTCCTCATAGTTCTCCTCTGCTCAAATTAAAATATTTTTGAAAATATTCAGTCCACAAAACAAGGTGTAGAATTTTATTTGTAAAAACCTAAGTAGAATATTATTTCAAACTACATTATAATTAAAATGTTTTGCCCACTGAGTGTAATAATACATTCATCATAAGAAATTAACAACAAACAAAAGAAAAACAGCACAAAGATCATCTTCATTAAATGCAGCATCATATAGTTAGGATAAATTAGTAAATTTAGGTCTAAATCGAGTGAGAAAATTAGCATGTTCTCAGCAAATTTCAAAACTTACAGAACACAACATTCTGATGTAGAGAGAAGTGCAGTTTGTTTCCTTGGAACCACTTTAACTTGACTGATGGACTATGATTACCTAACGAACCTATGTGAACAGATCTTAATTCAGTGAGAGACAAGCTCAAACATTCTGGCTTCCCTTGAATACTCCATTTAACCTAGGCCAAATTTCTATATAAATGAAAATACTACACTCATCTCGTTTTAGCTTTTTGTAATTCACGTGAGATTTGAAAATGAAGACAAAGTCTGCACTGGACTAATCTAGTTTGGTATAATAAAATTGAGTAATATAGGTTATTTCTATTTCTAATCACATTCTACAGTACTATTCTTTTCTTAATTTTTCTCCCAAGGAGTATTCAAAATAGCAGGCAAATTTTGACATTACATGGCAAACCAAAAACCTGCTAGTTTTTTACAAGCAGGACTTATTATTTGTAAACTATATTCTTATATTTGTAGGAACATAATTCATACTTTCAGACAAAATCTGTTAACACTGAAAACATAATTTATAAAACTATTCACGGGCAGTAACATACTTAATATAGGCATACCAGAATTTCATGATGGTTTATTTATTGCACAAATGCTCAACAATAATAGGATGGAATTTCTGAAACCATACGGTCCACCCTCACATGCAAAGCCATGTGTATTGTGGTAAATCGTAGATCAACGCAGCACCTTCTCTCTAGACATACCAGTATATGCAGAATTTGGGGTCTTTTTTCCACTATTAAAATTTTAAAACAAAAGTTTCCCATATTGCTAAGTAACCCACATATTGTTAACTTTAAAGACCACAGGATAATCCAACCATGTAGTTGATATATACCATTTCTTTGTGAGTCATTTATTTCCAGTTTCAGAATAGCACAAATAATGCTGTAATACAAATCTTCAAGTATTTATGCAACATTTTATTCTTTTAAAAATCATCTCTTTGCATGCCCAAGGTCCTGGTTCAACCCCCAGGACCACCATTAAAATAAATAAACAAACCTAATTACCTCCCTGCCCTAAAACAAAACAAAAAAATCATCTCTTTGTACAGAGAACAGATTGGTGGATGCCAGGGGTTGGGGTTGGGGGGTGGGTACGAGGTGGGTGAAATGGGTGGTGGTGGTCAAAAAAGTACAAACTTCCAGTTGTAAAGTCCTGGGGACGTAACGTATAGCATGGTGACTACAGTTAACAATACCGTATATATATTTGAAAGTTGCTAGGAAAGTAGATCTTAAAGTCTCATCACAAGAAAAACATTTTCCAACTATGTGCAGTGATGGACATTAACTAGACATACCGTGGTGACCATTTCACAATTTACACAAATATGGAATCATTATGTTGCACAAGTGAAACTAACATAATTTTATAAGTTAATTATATCTCAATTAAAAACACTGACCTTTCTGAGATTTTTCTAATAGTATTACTACAGGAAAAAATTTCAAACATACAAAACTAGATGAGTAGTATAATGAACCACCATGTACCCATCCCCCAACTTAGCAATTATCAATTCACAGCCAGTCTTGTTTTATCTACATCCTTAACCACGTAAACCCCACCCTCCAGGATTATTTTTACAGAAAATCCCAGACGTCTTGAAATTCACATGTGACTATTTCAGCATATATCA